ACACTTAAGTTGAATTATAACCTAAAATTAGTTCCACCTTTAAGTTCGAATTTTAGAAATGAAAATTGAAACAATTTGTGAACTATATGAATCAAAATTAATAAATTTTATATACTCGATAAGTATACAAACAAAAAAAAAAATAACCCCAAAAGGCCGAAACTTATTCTTTTGTTTGTCCACAAAATAATGTTTCTATATGATTGGTAAATGCTGCAACAATATTGGTTTAGTCACCATTAATATTTGTAAATAGTGAAGCTGACGAAATAGGGAGACATTTGTTTGAGAAGTATTTCTAGTCTAGAGATATAGGTGTAATGATTTTCACTCACAAATTTTCAAAAAAATAAATAAATAATATATATATATTTATTATTATTATTTTTTAATTAAATTTTTGGTCATTGGACCGGTTTTATTAAACTCTTAACATATATATATGAATTTCATGTTAAAAAACGAATGAATCAAAACACTCTTAACTCTAACAACTTTTTGTTTCGACCTCAATCAAGCAAATAGGAAAAGAGCATGTTAAGCACCACCGACATGGTTAGTGGGATTGCTTTACTCTTAACTAGAGGTGGTAAGAGTGTCACTCCTGAATGAGCCCTAGTACAACATGCGATTTAAATTTAGTTGGGGCTCTAATATAGACTCCAAATATTTAGTGGGAAACAAAAAAAAAAATACATGCCTTGATCTCATGGAATTACTCATTAATTAGTTTCTGATTATTATAAAGGGAGATAACCAATGGATATATATTACTCATTAATTAGTTTCTGATTTTAGGTGCCTCACATCCCAGCAAATGCAAATAAAAAAAAAATGGGAGTACCTTTGATGAAATAATTAATTAATTATCCTATAACTTTTGATGACAAAGTACAAAATTCACGGCCATGAACTTGTGGTCATTGTCTCAAAGTACATTACAGCCAATGCAGATAATTAATATGTGCACATGTTTCAAATTCTCATTTTTGCTTTTCAGTTTATATTTATTTGTAAAATTCCACTTCTCGATAGTTAAATAATGTATTAAATTATGTTATTTTTATTTCAAAAACCAATACTAAACTAACTCCAAAAACGTATACTAATAACTTTTAAACTACATAGCTATAAGACACATCAAGTAAATTAGTTATGGATTATATGAAAATTCAATTAGCTAAGAGTAATTTAGTGACGAATTAGCTAGGAATTACTGATAAATTCCATAGCTAATTTTATGTTTTTTAGTAGAGGTATGGATAATACGGAGAGGTCTAAAAACAAAATATATGAGTTCATATGAATTTAGTAGCTCGTATATTTATATATTTAAAAAATCTCTAAATATTTATTTATAAGCTCAATTGGATTGTTACCTTGATCATAAATTATATATGTTACACCCGCCAGTGGTGGGGTTGTATATTTCTTATCATGATTTATATGAGTGGAGTCGTTGATGGACGCAAAATGAATAATTGTCCTTTGTCTCTCTTGTAATCTACAGTTGCACTCGATATGATTAATTTTGTGAAAGCACTTTGAGAAAAGTTATATACAGATCCTACTAATTTGTAAATTTTGAGATAATATTGTTACGTACTTACGTTGCCTCACTTTATATCTGCTTTATTTATTTTCTTCTTTATCTTTGATTTAATTTTATCAAAGCTTACATCAGTTAATTAGGTCCCTTTTTGGATAATTAGTGGAAATTACTTGCCCTCCTTAGGTACCGAGAAAAATAATAATATAAAGTAGTGTTTAAGATGACATGTAATAATCTTCGAAATAAATTTGGTCATATGTGAAGAGAAGTCCAGTTACAGTGCATTGGATGTTATTATGCTTACCGTCTTCAACTCGAATTATATATGTGAATTTGAATGAGAATAGTACATAATGATCCTCTTTTCAATCTGTTACAATTTTCATCTCGTACAATTAACTCTCAAACCATAATGATCAAAGAGATAAATTTTCACAAGAAGGTTGTTTAGGGCATCTCCAACCCAATCCTCTATTTTACTTTCCAAATATAGAGTTCTCTATTTTTCAGACAATCAACTCCAACCCAATTCTCTATTTTACTCTCTAAAAAAAGAATATTTTTCTCTCTCCTCAATATTATATTATTATTTATATTTCATTCTTATTTTCTTATTTCATAATATAAATCATTTCTTCTTTTTGCAAATAATCACTCTATAATCTTTACGTAATACAATTTTTTTTTTCAAATTCTTCATTAATATAAAATTATATTTTATTCTAAATTTCTAAATAACATAAATTTCAATACATATTATAAATAATACATATTAACGAACAATTCAAATAAAAATGAACTCATTGATGAAATATAATTGCATCATAAATATTGTATTATCGTAAAATTTATAAATACTCAACTTTTAAGACTATTAGGTTACTCTCATGAATAGGGGTGTGCATCGGTCAGTTCAGTTTTATGTATTATCAGTTCGGTTTATCAGTTTTTGGTTTTTAAATATGTTAAACCAATAACCAAACCAATAATATATTTTTTATCGGTTTTGGTCCTTAACGGTTCGGTTTTCGGTTTAACCAATAAGAAAATATTTATAAAACAAATATATGACTTTTCTAATAAATTTGATGCGAAAACACAATAATATAACTTTACAAAGCTCATAAATAGAAACAATAATAACAAAGATGAAAAGAACTATACAAGCGTAACACAAAGAGAAATTAAGAGGAATATGGTTCTTACTTTAGATTTTAACGTTTTTTATAATGTGAAATTGTGAA